CTTTGCATTCAGAGATTTTAGTTCGATTTCAAATTAATTGCAAATCTTTGAGCAAATCTCGAAAACATACAAACAAAATTATGAGCATAAAAATATTCCATTCGCTTGAATATTTGAATTGATGAATTTCGAAATATTTGTTCATAAATCATTGAATGCGATTTCCCCTGCACTAAATCATCATTTCCAATATTCTAAGTGTTTCTCGTCGAAAATTACGAAGTGTCGTTGCACGAAAAATTCTCTGAATCGCATCTCGAGAATTGTTCATTAAATCTTATTTAAAGCGATGAAGAAGAAAAATCTAACTAAAATGCATTTTCCAATCAAAAAAATGAGCCTCTCCGTAATAACGAGCATGCATCCAAAAATGCGATTGTCACACGAAAACTCAAGCGAAAAACCGTTGAATTCGGTTTGTTTCGTGTTTCGAAATGAGATGAATATTGATCATCAATTGGAATGGATTTCGATTTACGGTATCACAACAGATGATACACATGTAAATGCGCCACAGCCAATGGTCGTCGCCGTGATTGTGGGCGGTGATCTTTGTATATATATTTCCTCTCTCGAAATGTGAGCGGCTCTCGTTCCATCGCGCAGTTGTTGTGTATTACCTTATTCCAATAGAAACACACACACGGGCGAAGCAAGCGAGCTCAAAGGGAAACTAAAACGAACGAACGAGCGAAATAAAAACAAAATCATGCTTACAAAACACGGTGCGCTCCATACACGTTTATGTATGCGCGCGCGTTGTGATCGTATTCTCGCTCGTTTTAATACGCTCGCTATTCAACAGGTTTCGAGTGCTGCTGCTGCTATGTTGTTGGTGGTTTTTTTTCTTCTTCTTTAGTTTTGAGCTTCGCATTGACTTCGATTTAATGTATAAAGCAGCACATGTAATTTGATTTCTCGTTTTGCTTTTTTTTTGCTCTTGTGTGTTGTAGTCATCAAAAAGCCGAGCGTAAATAACGTAACGAAACAACACTCGGTGTGCATTTCGTCGAATGTGTGTGCGCGAAAACGCTCGCGTTTATTATTATTTGCCAACAGCGGCGTACAGATTTATGGAGTTTTACTACCAATACAACGGATGAACGATTTCGATGCAATGAACCGAGACTGAAGCACACACACACACACACAGACTGAGACGGGCAGACAGAGAGAGGAAATAAATGCTCAGCGTAATATCGGTTTGATTCTTTCGTAATTACGGTTGCAACTTGCATCATGTCAACGATACGGATAGAGAGATAGAGACAGTGAGATAAAGTAATGTTGTGCGGTTTTTTTTGCTCTCGCACGTTGCGATTAAATGGCTCACGATATTCATTTTAAAAGTCATCGACGCAATATTGACGATACTGTTTGCTAGCAATGTGTGTGCGAATACATTTTCTGGGCATTCGCCAATGACCAATGATGTTTTTCAAATGGAATTTTTCCAAAATGAGATCATTCGAGAGTTTGAACAATTTTTCTTTCGCTTCTAGCTGCCATTTGGATTTTTAGATTGCTTTAACTTTTTCTATTTCAATGAGTTCGAATTCGGTTTTTTTCGTTAAATTCGATTTTTTGCTTCAATTGAAGTTTTTTCATGTTTCAATTTACAACATTTCGTTGTTTCAACCAATGCTACCATAAAAAACCAGAGTTTTTTTTTCAATTTCATTTTGTCTAATAGACAATGTCTATCCATCCATTCCAATTTACAATTTTCTTCATTTCCGAAGAAAATCCGAAGAACTCTTAAAAAAAAATCGAACATTTCGATCATTTGATGGCGAACAAGAAGCAGTGGAAGTTTTGATATCGGTATAATTAAGTTGAAATTGACCAAAGAGAGAAAAGAAGAAAAAAACAGACGAAAAACAAAAACGTTAACGATGCTTTGTCCAATCACGCTGTGTCTTGTTTACGCACCGTAAACACGGTCAGTGTGAGCGTGTATGAGTGTATTTGTGTGTGCGTGTCCAGTATCATGTAATTTATCTGTTGCGTATGTGAAGAGATGAAAGATGATCACAAGCTATCGGTTAGCATCAGTGTTCAGCTGTAATCGTATGGAATGTGTAGCGAATCAAGATTTCGGTACGATTAAGAGAGGGGAGGCGGATGAGAGAGAGAGAGAGAGAGTCGCTCATTTGTGTGTATGTGCTGGACGATCATAAAGTGTTGCGTGTAAACGACAGAGATAACTGAATGTTCAGTATGTAATGAATAGGCCGCCACACTGACCATTTCCATCGCATCGTAATGCAAACGAATCTGTGTCGAAAGCGTACGAAAGAAAATGAACAACAAATCGAGTGCGTGATAGGTAACGAAGAAGAGGGAGAGCGAGAGATTTCAACACTCGAAAATAAATGCGCTCCGTTGGTCTCTCATCTTTTATGCATCATTTCCAATCATCGCTGTCCATTTAACGATCTTGCTCCTGTTCCATCTCTCTTCCTCTCATGTTCGATATGACACTTTTGATGTTGTTTTTCGTTGAAGAACATGAAGTGTAACATTGAAATGAGCTCGAAATTCCGCTTCATCCGGCTTTTCTATTCCATCGAACTATCAAATTGACAAACAAAATGACGCATGACTTCAACAATCACCGACTGAATGATGCATGCGTGCGTGTGTGTGTGTATATTGAACAGAAAAAAAACAAAATTAATTTAGACGTGGTTCAAGCGAGCAGAGAGCATTAATGAGGGGAGATGTGGTTATCGTTATTCTACGTTTCGTTATTTACGAAACATTTAAAAGGAAGTATATTACGAAACTAATTTACTAAAAAAAAAAGACAACGGCAACAGCGATGAAGTAGACGACGGTGATCAGAGTGGACGGCATTTGGTATTGGACAGCGTAAAATGATGATGATGAGAGACGGTGAACCAATGGGAAAAAAACATGATCAAATCAAGTCTTCTTTCTGCTCGCTTTGCCGTATCAAATGGAATTCATTTGGAGAAAACCACACGAAATAAATGCTAATGTGTAGCGCAGAGCTCACATTCGCTGGCTATTTAGATGTGGGATTTGGATTTTTATTTTGTGCCATTGCCTCATTTGAGAAAAAAAAAATTTCTCGGTTATTTCTTTTTTCGGTCTGGTTTCTCTTTTCTTTGGCGTTGCTTATTTATTTTACATCTTCTTTTTTTTCTTTATCGATGCTAAGGCTAATTTACACATTTGCAAGGGAAATGATTGGCTCTCTTCTCACTGGCTTTATTGGTATAATTTGCTTGGTTTGTTGTGTCTTCTACACATTTGGTTCGAATTCATTGCTCCAAACGAAGAAGATGTGTGGCATTGCGAACGAGGGAGAAAGATGTTGTAAATTATTGACCTCAATTTCACCGTTGTGTCCAAGCATTATTATGCAAATCAGCCAACCCATAAATGAGGTTCTATTCGCTAATAAAAAAAAACCATATCTGAATTTCAGAGCTAATCTTTTCTGATACGCTTCAATTGACTCAATTGATTCTCACAAAAAAAAAAAAAAAAAAAACAAACGAAAAATAATTTCGACACTGAACAGCTGCAATCATTCGTTGAGTTGGTGCTATTATTTAACTCATGCTCCTTGCAAACTAAACATCGTCCGATCCGCGGACGTCAGACGTTACTTTTTTCGGTTTGATTAGGAATATTTGAAGCGATTCTTAGAAAGCCTCTCACCATTTCGGAATTGGTGATCGCATAGATAACGCAAGCACGTTTCTTCGTAGCTGAAACAGCGGGGCTTCAGGTGGAAGAGACGAATACATTCGATGACTATGACACTGATATAAAACAGTGATAATGGGCGTTCAACTGATATCAGTCATCATCGCAGCAAACGGTGAACAGACAGCGGACAAACTTATGTACATCATATCAGTTCATGTGAATTGCTTATCGGGTGCTTGTGTATTGTCACTTGTGAAAGCGACACAATTTGACGTCTTTCCTGCGCTCTTTCTTTCTCTCCCGCTCTCTCGCTCTCTCTCTCCCACTCTCTCGCTCTCGCTTGCTCTCGATTGCATTGCATCGCGTTTTAAATTTTGGGTATTTGACGCAACAAACAATGTTACATAATAAACGATAAGAAATTTCTACTGAGCAATTTAGACAAGAGCCAGAAAAAATGATCGAGTCTTTGCAAACAAAGATTTTGAGTCATAATTTTCCGACTATATATCTTTGTATCCAGTGACGCGATACGCGGAACAAGAGTACATTGATCTAAAGATTCAGCTCAAAATTCCCTGGAAATTGTTCGGCTCAAGATAGACATTCTGGCGAGAAATGCACTTGCACCATCAGAATCGATGGTTTCAATTCTGATCCACATTGGTGGATTAAACTCGCTGAGGATTCAAACGGGTTGATAAAATGTGTTGGTTCAACGAAGGTCTCCATTTCAGTATTAGTTCCCAATGTTTCAGTGAAAAATTCATTCCATACAAATACCATGGAGATGGCTTCTGGCCCATGTGTCGATCTCTCGCTTCTATTTTTTATTCATAAAATTCAAGTGTACGGAACAAACTCATTCATAAATTCCATTCAAATTGCAAACAAACAAACAAAACATACGAACCAAGAGCGAGAAAGAGAGCAAGAGAAAATACTGAGTTTTTTTTTCTTGATTTACGTCTCTAACTGATAGCACACTTACTCTATTTATAGCTGTCGTTGTCGTTGTCGTTTTCTCTTGACAAGTAAACAATTGAATGAAATTCGGTTCGCAACGATACCGAGCCAATGACTAACAACGTATGTATTGTTTGTTTATATTTTTGCGTAATCAATTTGAATATCACAGATGACAATGTGCATTTGTATGTCATCGCCGTTGTCGGCGAATGTGTAGATTTTTTTTTTTTGGGCACACAATGTATGGCTTTCGAATGATTTCAATCAATTTACAAAAAAAAAAAAAATGATAACATAAAAGAACCGAAGAAAGAACCAAAACAATGATGCCAATCGGAAATACTTACCTAGCATTTTACTCAAGTCAGCATTGTGCAAGTCGGGATTTTCATCGGCCAATTTCTTTCGCTCAACTTTGGCCCACACCATAAACGCATTCATCGGACGTCGTATACGCGCTTCTTTTGCACTTTTCAACGCATTTGCCGCACTCATTTTTCCACTGGACGTACCGCCACCACTACTACTCGTATTATTTGGATACGCTTGTCGTTGCAACATTCCTAAGCAAAAGAGGCAAAGAAAACAAATCAAATTTGAAATCATTTTCATTCTTGTTTGGGGTTATTTTATGCAGAAAAGTCATTCGTATAATATTTATTATGAAAAAAGCCAATAGTTTTGCAAACAAATGGGTCATCACGAACATTGGATTTTCAATACAAGACTGATCATTTTATCCTTATCTTTGGTTGTATAGGTGAATCTTGATGAAGTTATACGCAAAAATTACACTTCGAAACCATTTTTTCAAAGTTTTCAAGCCGTGATTATTGCGTTGTTCCGTTTTTTCGTACATTTTCTTCAAAGTTCTACATTAAACTACGCATCAAAAAATGTTTAAAGAATATTCTCAGCCCTTCAAATATGGTGTAATTCCGAATAATCACAATGATTGCATCTAACTTTCCGAAAATTATCGAAATTCTAAGAATTATTTTCGTTATTTCATTGGGTGGGTCGTTTCAAGTCGAAATACATTTATTAGAAATTTTCAGTGGCTCTTTTTGTTGAATTCAGTGTTCAATCAACAGAAATGACGATCAAAAACGAAAAAGTCACCTTTTTTTTCGCACCTTGTTCGAAAATCAGAATCTTTTAATCTTGTTTTATAGCGAAAAAAGGCAAACTGAATTCAAAATAAATCAAATGCAACATTCTAATTGATATTTTGACCTTCAGACCCGTCCATAATAACAAATCGCCGTTGATTGTGATTAATATTAACGAAAAAAAAACAAAGTTTATTTACTATCATTATCGTGATAATTACGTCATTTGCAATAAGTACATACCATAATTACTACAAAATTCGCTAGAGAATGCTGAGTTCATTGGGTATCCCCAGGAAACGGAGTCGTCAACTTGGTTCGAGGTAGCATTTGGCCCGAGCGGTGGGAGTATTGTGGATGGTAAAACGTCTGAATACGGTGAATATTGCATTAATGGGGAATTATTTGATAGCATTGGTGAATTGGATGACATTAATGGGGATGAGGAGTGCATGGAGCTTTGTGAAGCCCCAGCAACCATTGGACTATGTGGCGGATTCATAAGCATTGGATACATTTGATGATGTGGCGAACTGTAAACGAGAAGAAAAAAGAGAGTTAATTTAACATTATTTACATTTTTTTTAATCATTGTATCGAGTAGAGATTAAATAAAGTAATCGAAGCTTGATTGAAAAGAAAAAAAATAAAAACAAGATAAATTTCCATCAGATGATTATTATCACTTGAAGAAAAAAAACAACAACGAAATAATGTCTAGAAGATTTTCAACGTCTAGAAACATATAATCATATTGATTGTTAATAACATCGAAGTTTGCTTTTTTCTACAACAATCAGTTATTTCAATACGCGTATACGCTTTGTATTGTCATAATTTGTCTAATAACCTCTTCTACTTAACATAATAACTTCTCTTCATTGGAATTCATTTCGAAAGAAAAATGCATATTTAACGGGTAAATTAGAATTTAAGAGAAACAACAAACACAAACACACACAATCCATTAAAACGAATTCATGTTACGACCCACAAAAGTCAGACTGGCAACAGAGAATAAGGAGAGCAATGGCAGCGCGAAATGCGCACAAAATGAGTTGATAAAATGCTCAAGCATGAGATTCATACACAGTAGTTGATATAAGTAATAAAAATGAGTGCTAACTGCAAAAGAATGAGAGGAAGAGAGAGAGAGAGAGAGAGAGAGAGAGAGAGAGAGAGAGAGAAAAGGCAGAATTGAGCGGTATAAACACAACAAATCTGATGACGGGAAAAACACAGCGATGAGAAAATAAACATTGTACTTGCTCGGAACGCAATCTTTACTTCTTTTTCTTCTTTTTCTGGGGATCCGTGCGCTACTTGTTCCGAACTACGCAGAAAAATGTATGCGTGCGCGCGCGCTTCGAAGTGAGACGTGCAAGAGAATGTGCGTAAAGAGGTGAGAAAACGACGATAAACTGAAAAATAAACATGAATAAACGGAACGTCTGACGAATGTCGACTTTATCACATACGGCGAGAGAGAGAGAGAGAAAGAGAGAGAGAGAGAGAAAATATCAAATTGAGCTTATCATGCTGAAATTCTATTCATTTATCTGATATGAACCAAATTTTCACAGGCTAACCACTTCGGAGGTTTTCAGTCATAAAATTGAGCATTTTTTTCTTCCATACGTTCGATATTGCTGTCGTTGTTGTTGTGGTTTTACGTTAAAGACGATAAAAACCCGTTCATCAGATTATTACGTACAAGAGCAATGAAACGCAACTTCTTTTTTTTTTGGAAGAACAACATATAAATATTTCATCTTCATCTTGTCAGGTCACGCTTTTTCGATTGACGAAATAATTCTGGTTTTTTTTCGCTTCAGCTCGCGGTTCGTTTCGTTCGCATGTCGTCTCTGTCACATATGATGACACACACGTGTGCTTACGATCATCATGACTTTCTTCGGTTTGTCGGTTAGTTTTTTTTCCTCTCTGCCTCACACTTTGCCTCATTCGGTTGAGATGTGCTCTTATTTTTTTCTCAGGTCTGATAAGAACCCTGACTACGGTTTCATTATTTGTTGTGTACTTCAGTTTTAGATTCAATTTTTCTGTCTTCTCCATTTGACTTTGGAAAAAGAGCTGGTACTGTTATAAGCTGTTAAAATGACCAGTTTCAAACGAAACGCTTTATTGTCACGTTCACATTGCTAACGACTCGTTTTTTTTTTGGCATTGAGAGGTAAAGCACACTTTCAAACTTTCATCTAATCACTTGCAATGAAACGTTTCCTGGGAATCATTTCGAGATCAGCTTCTGGTTTTTAATTTCGGAAAAAAAAAATCATGTGGCGACACGTTACATCCCTACGCGTTCGGCATCTTTGAGGCTGTTTAATTTGACGGTTAGGCTATTGCAATCGACGCAATAAATGAATATAAACCGTTGGTTCGGGCGAATCATGTTGAAATGGCAGAACAATTTACGAACTGAAGGTGACCAAAATATTCAAATCCACCAGCAAACATGTTCGTTCAACAAACTCGCTCATTTTGCTAAAGAAAAATTGGGATTTTCTCTTTAAAATTATTTTGGAAGACAAAAATTGGTTTGAATTTCACAAGATGTTCGGAATTTCAAACTTTTAAATATTGAGTTGAAATGAATTTTCGGCGAAAAACGAATAAAAATTTGAGCTTTTTTTTTGCTTGGTTTAATATATTTATTGATCTTCTTCTTCGAGTATTTAAGGCCAGGATTGACTATCAAGTTTCGGCCTAATACAAAGATTAACGAACGTTCAAGGAGTTGCATTTGTCGATCGTTCTGCAATCCAAAATTGGTTCACGAAATCGAGCAGTGCAACGAGCTCTCAAAATTGGAAATAGTTGCTCTTTATTTCATTCCCAAAAATCGTTCTCATGCAAATGATGTTGAGATGTCAGTGCGCCAGTGCAAAGTAGAAAGGTTAAAGGCATGCATGTCGGCAGTGAGAAGAAAATATGGTTTTTTTTCCGCCATATTTTCATTTCAGAATTGAGAAAAAAATGTAAATATTTTATTCGAAATCCGTGGTTTTTCTTTCTCTATATTAATAGCGGCTGAAGTGCAATGTATGCGGGTATATCATTTGGGTACATACAGAAGCGTGTACAGCTAATGCCGTGGATAAGATAAGAACAATTTCGTGGCCATTACATGTGATTTATAAAATTTCGCAGAAGCAAAACCGCACAATCAAATAAAATACAGGATAAAAAAACACACACCGAACGAACGAAAGCAAAAAAAATAAATAAATAAAACAAAATAAAGTGAGGCAAACGAAAAAAAAGCAACAGCAACCAGCCAACAGAGAAGTCACCGAAGAATTGGAGGCATAAAAGAACGTTGACGATTAGCACAGCGACATTACAACCGAAAAAAAAATACCCACCAACAACAGCAACAAAAACGATCGGCATGTACCCACAACAAACGAGTCTGCAAATCTGTAGATAAAATAGATTCGACGCAATACGGACACATATTCATTCGCGGCATAAAATTCTTTGCTCCTCGTCTGCTTAACACACACACACACACACTCACTCGGCATTGTCGCTCGCGCTGTGAACTCACAGGGTTTTTGTTTACCGTAATAAATATTGTGGTAGTCATTTGAATATTATGTAGTTTGACAGCTGAATAATTTTTTTTCTTCCTTTCGTCGTTCGAATTGCGTTTGTCTCGCTGGCTACTTTTTTTCGTTGCTTTTCTCATTCAGATTGGGTTGATGGTTGTCTCTGGGCTGTAATTTTTTTTTTCGTTCGTTCGTTCGATCGTTTTACGATCTGTGCAAAACGGGGCAGAGCCGGGATTTGGTGTGTATGTGTATATTTTCATTTCGGTAAGCTTGTTGCTTTCTGATACCGATATTGTCGTTGTTTCACTCAAATCGATTTCCATATGAAAAGAACGCCGATTCGCAATTTCGAATTGTGCGACGTTGTCAACGACACACTGAGTATTTAAAGGAAAAGAACACATTAAAAACAAATGTTATTGGCAATTGATGACAAGAGAAAGCAAACTACACACAACTCGCGCGCTGCCAACTACGAAAAAGAGACAGAATGCGACAAAAAAGTAGCAACAGCAGCCACAGCAACAGTAGTGGAAAAATAGTCACCGATCGGAAACGAGTTGGCTGGCGAGCCCAGTGATTGCGAGTTTTGTGTGAGGCATAGCCGAGAGAGAGAGAGAGAGAGAGAGAGAGAGAGAGAGAGAGAGAGAGAG